CTACAGGGCCTGGCACTGAGCAGACAGTGAGAGATAGAGTGGGTCAAACAACCTCTAGATTCTTCTCATCTTGAAACAAATCCTTTGTTCCCATCAGCCTCCACAGCAGCCCTCTGGGGCCAGCCTCAGGGCAGCCAGGCCACAAGGACTGGAAGTTCTGACTCACCTGCCCTTCCTTAACCCCTCTACTTGCTCCAAATTACCCCAACATTCACTTTCCTCCACGGGTCACTGGCCCATGTCTCAGGTAGCCCAGAACCTGAGCTGAGCCGGCTGGGCGGGGGGCGGGGTGGGGGGAGCTTTGCAAACCCATCTGAGCAGATTTCCCTCCCTCCTCACTGTCTGGGGCCACAGGGGGAGGGAGGAAGCAGTTGCACAAGGCCTGGGTTCGAAACCGGACTTTGCTGCTGCTCCATATGTGCCTTTGGGCCAATTACCTAACCTCTCTGGGCTTTGATATACCTGCATCTATAAAATTGTGACAATAATCCTTTTGTTAACAAGTTGTTGTGAGGATGAGAAGGAGGATGAGGATAAGAAGGGTTTTACCTTCCCCAGCTCACCAAGAAATCTTCCTCCGGCTGACTTGGAAGAAGATCCAGTCGTTCTTAATGTGCAGATCCAGTCGGCAGCTGTGGATATGCACAATAACCGGATGCTTTTCAGGGCTCAAAAGTGAAAGCAAAAATCTTTTTTTCTGAGAAACACAGCCCTTAACTATCAGGAACCACCCTCGGCTACTCCCATGTCCTCCTTGCCAACTGACACCCTTTGAGGAACAACTCCAGGACTGATGTTCCGAGTCCTTTCTCAGCCCATCCTGCCTCGGGCTTCTGGAAGGAAGACTGGCCACTGATAGACCGTGGGACCCTCTGCAAATTACTCCCCCACCCCATGGGGCTGTTCTCAGCCCCCTCCTCCCTGTCCCTCCCCTGCACTCCCCAAAATGCCTGCCTTGTTTACCTGTTCCCAGCATTGCATAACTGCCATTGATGCCACGTGCATGTGGCTTCCAGACTTTGGCTTCCGTTTGCTTACATAGACCCTTCTGCCAGGAGCACCAGCTTCCGCCACCTGGAAAAAGCATTTTCATCCTTCAAAGCCCAAATCTGTTATCACTTCCTCTGAAAAGCCCTCCAGCATCTTTGCCCAGAGTCCACTGTCCCCTGCTTGCTTGTCCCATGGCACCTGGGGGAGGGTTTCAGCCCACTGCTCAGACACTGTGTTCCTGTCTCCCCGATCCCTTTTGATCAGGTCTCTCTCTAGACTTGTCCCTGGTGGCAGGGACAGCACCAGCGCTTTTGGGTTGCGGTGACCTGCCAAGGAGGCGCATCACTAGTGGTCAGTGCCGTTTGGGTGGACCCAGAAGTTTGTGGCAGCGAGCGGACAGAACCATGCTATTTTCTCCCCCTGCTAATTTCCTCTTGACAATAGATCTTTTTCTGTCCAAATGGAGGACTTGCATGGGAAGGCCAGTGTCATGGTGACACCAACAAGTCTGAAAACAGAAAGCAGGCCTGTTTTCTGCTTGGATCCTGAGCAAAGCAGCCAGCGTGGACCAAGGGCTGAGTACGTGCCAGGCACTGTGTGGGCACCTGCCCACACCACGGAAACCTGGCGCGGGTTTCTCATTTCTCACACCAACTCTAGGAATTGTTTACTCAATCTTACAGATAAACAGAGAGGAAAAGTTCCCTGTAAGTCCTGCAGTTGTTGGCTTTCTTGCTTTGCCCCAGGCAGGAGGGGCTGGGAGTATACCAGAGGCCACTCCCGCCCTCCCACAGGGGCCTGCTCATCCAGGGCCAATGTCCATGGGGGGGTCCTGGCCAGCTCCCCTCCTAGCTTTTCAGGGAGGGACAGAAGAATGATGGATGTTACTGCAGAAAGACCACACACTGAGTCAGAAATAGGGTCCGATTCTGCAGAGGAGGAAGCCGAGGTGAGGGGAGAGGCCGTGGCTTTTGCCAAGCGACTCAGAGGAAGAGCCAAGACTCAAGGCAAGTTTCGCATTTGGCCTTTGACACTTGTTTAGAGTTATCTTTTGTTATTTTTTCCCTGTACCCACTCTTCTGCCCAATTCTGCTCCCTTTCCCTAGCATGACTGCAGCTCAGTGTCCGAACAAAACCGCTGTGAGAAGCAGAACTCGATTAACATCCGCACGAGACGTGGCTCAGTTATCCCAAGGATCAGGACGCAGCATGGACTCCAGACGGACGTCTGTGCGCTGGACGGACACGGCCTCGTGCTGGGACAGCCATGATGTGGGCTGCAAAGTCAGATCGAGATGAGAATTAGGCACTTCTAGGCTCCAGGGGCATGAGCTGAGACCACCCCATTTACAGATCCTAGAGATCTAGTGACTATTAGAGCTGAACTCGACCCCAACCCAAGGTCATCTAGGATGACTTTAGCTCTGGAGTTGAAGTCTTGGCCGAAATCTTTGGTCAATAGCAATTTCAGCCTACGGTGAGGAAAATCCCAACTCTATGGGAAAGTAACCCAAAATTGCTCAGAAAAATGTCTGGCGTGCGCCACCAGCATCACCTGGTGGAGACTGGAGGAGTCACCAGCTGCAGGCTCGCAGCCAGCAGCCCCACCCCTGCCCTGCCCCGTCCAGTCTCTCCAGCCCGTGGGGAGGTGTGCTGGGCTCAGACAGGCTGGAGTTGAGCTGTCCTCCCTTTTTATAGGGACGGTGGGAGGGGGTAGGGAGCTTCAAACTGAGCGTGTAACAAAGAGGACTTTTGCGGTCCTCAGAGTGAGTAGCAAAGACAGGCATCTTAGGCTGCAGAACGCTGGGGCTTGCATTCAATGCCGACAGCACCTAGGGACCTCATGGGAAGTGGCCACCGGTCTCGGCCACTCACTGCCAGGCTGCCAGCTCATCTAGTGGACAATCCCATTTATCTTTCCTCAGGTTGTAAAATCGGGCCCTGAGTAACAATTGACAATTTCAGGAAGGCTTAGGAATAAGTATAAAGATGACAAAGTCAAACCCATAATCTTAATATTTTTATGTTGAAGTCAAGACAAATACTATGTTTAACTTTGATGTATGTATAATGTTTAAGAAAATTGGACACATTTTCAGAGTTAACAGATTTTGGATTCCAATTTAAAACAGGTAATTGAGTAATTTATCCAGGTTAATGATTTCGAGTTGAAAGGCACACTGCCAAGTACTAAGGATGCTGCAAATAAGCTTTAGCTCAGAGCGAGGACACAGCTTCAGGTCCAGCAGAACCCAAAACCGCAGGCGTGAGCAGCGGCAGGTGAGGACGGAGGAGGCTCTGAGAGCCTCACCACCAGATAGCGCTGGAGCACGTGCCAACCTCTCTCCTCCTGGCAGTGAGGAGGCCAAGGAGGTTCTTGTCTGGAGTCACTTTTGTGCTGAAGTCTGGCCTTCAAAATAATAGCATCTAGCCACTATTGAAAATAGTATTGCAGTTCCTCAAAAAATTAAATATGGAATTACCACATACGTATTCCAGCAATCCCACTTGTGGGCACATACCCGAAAGAATGGAAACAGGATCTCGAAGAGGTATCTGTCCACCTGTGTTCACAGCAGCATTATTGACAATAGCCAAAAGGTAGGAGCAACCTAAGCTTCCGTCAACGAATGAATGGCTAAGAAAACTGTGATGTATGTATACAATATTATCCACATCGAAAAGGAAATTCTGGCACATGCGACAACATGGATGAACCTGGAGGACATTACGCTAAGCGTAATAATCCAGTCACAAAAAAATAAACACTGTATGATTCCACTTATATGAGGTACAGAGTAGTGAAATTCATGGAGACAAAAAGCAGAACGGTGGTCGTCAGGGGCTGAGAGAGAAGGGAGGAGCTTGTTACAACAGCCCTATGATGAAAACAATTATTATCCCTCTTTCCAAAAAAGATCAAACTAAGGTTCTAGTGGTGTGAAATGACTCCCCAGAAGCAGGGAAGCCAGGCTGGTCTCTCCGATTCTTGTTTTGTTTTTCTGGACCATGTGATTTTCCCAGAGGACGAGAAATCCTTAAAATCTTCAGGTATTCTAAAAATGTAATTTTCTTCCCTAAATTCTTCTTCCTGTTGGCTTGAAATGAGTCAGAAAATTTCAGCGCCCCTGCTTCAAGGCTGCAATAAAGTGGTGAAAATGCAGGCCAACCCAGGAGATTGTGATATGCCAACAAAGATGGTCTAATTTTACAGTCCGAAAACCCCAATGTCCTTGAATGGAAGGAGAAGCCGCCTAAAACTCTCCAGAGCTTGGCCCCACCTACCTTTTACGGCATCTCCTGTGGCTCCCTTAGCAGGGGCCAAAACGCACCTGCTCAGAGGCTGGACGGGTCCAGCTGTTGGAGGCCCAGGCAACGCCGTGCAGCACGCAGCTTTCCTTAGCAACCGAGCTGGCCGAGCAGTGGCCCAGGGGTTGCTGCTCAAGTTCACACCGTATGTCAAGCGGGCGTCATAGCCCTTCTCTGAGGAAAGCCTTTCCTCCCTCCCCTACCTCTCGCAGCTGCAAGGACATCTGTCTTCCTTCATTGCTCTTGGATTCCCGGGGCCTGCCAATGAGCCTGGTTTATGGTTAGAAGAATGAACAAAGCTTTGACTGTCGTGGTCCGATACCCACAGGCCTACTCACCAACTCCCTCATTTCTGCTTCTAGGATGACCCTCCGTAGGGAAGGCTTTGCATTGTCTGACTAAGGGGGCCCCCCAAAGTTAGTGCCTGGGCCTTGTGTCTCTATCCTGTGCCAGCTCAGCGTCAAGCACATAGTAGGTGCTCGATAATTAACGAACCAAGGTTTATATGAGATGCTCTTAGCATCCTTGAACCTGACCCAGCCTTTCTATCTCTTTCTGCATGACTGCCACCCCCCTCCCGCTTCAACCAGGCTGCACTACTGGAAGGTTCTAGAAGGTGCACAAAGTAGGTGCCTGCTGCAGAAATGAAGACTGTCCCTCCCAGGCGACCCTCTCCGGCAGACAGACACCGCCACACACATGGCTCATAGCACATGGTACTCTTTATTGTGACGCTCAGTGGGAAGCATCTGTAAACCGGCTTACTGTAGTGGTGACAGCTGCGACACATGCTAAGGCACTTTTATTATATAAAAAAAGGGCTGGGGTGGGAGTGCCATCCACTCCTTTGTGACAGCAACTGGGACCTGAATTCAGAGCTTTTTAGGCATATGTAGCTTTTACATATATTCATGATTTGTTGAGTTTCTTTTTTCAAAAATGCCTTCTTTGCCATAAGTCTAAATGCAGCATATACAAAACAGGAACACAGATAAATTCAGCAACCAGTGTAGACCAGTGTAGGACACGCTACTCTCTTCTAAACATGGTTCCAAAGGAAAGGCAGTGATAAAGACTGGGGATTTTATCATTTATTAGAAGGGGGAAAAAAAGAAAACCCTTTTTTCTTCTCCTTTCAAAAACATCTGTGCAGATGGCAGATTTTTAAACTATACTGAATCAATGGCGCAGAGAAACTACCCTCGGGCCCAGTCCTAGAGTAGGTAGATCACAGGGGAGGGCCGCTGGCCCTTTCTGATGCTCTGGCTGTCAGATTTGGGACAAGTCCCTTAACCATTAAATATATTTGGTCCCCAAGAGTGTTGGGAGAAGCCACTGCTGGCTTTTCCGGCTTGGCCCCCAGGCCCTGTCCACTCGGCCCAACGGCCTGTACAGAGTAGGCAGCCCTCGCTCATCAAGGAGGGAAGGGGGCCGTCATTGCACTTGAGACGTTTTAGAATTAGAAAGGGGACAGTGGCGCTGTCCAGCAGGGGTGGGGAGGAAGTACGCTCCGTCCCTGTCCTCAGCGGTCTGTGCCCTGCACAGAGGTGGCGTCCCTGGGCCTGCTCTTGCTGGACCACCCGGAGCCCACGGGAGTTGGGGGCTGGTGGGGCAGAGGGTGTGAGGTCACCACGTGTGATTGCCAACAGCAAAGAAGGGGCTGGGGGAAGAGCTGGTGGCGAAGGCGGGGGAGGGTGACGACTCTTCTGGGGTGTCGGGCTATCAAAATTCCTTAGTCTGAAGAAAAATAGATTCATAGAAAACTCTCGCCCATCCCCGGTGGCTGCCCTTCTTGCCTCAACCATCTTGTGCTTGTTGGCAAGAGAGGGCTGAAGATCCTGCAGGTCGCTCTGTTCCCGAGCTGGGGGCCCAGGACCTTGATTCTTTGGTATCAGATTCTGGGGGTGCAAGGGGAGCGGGAGGGGCTGTAGCAGAGGAAGTCGAAGGCCTTCAACAAAGCCGGGGGAAGGGGAGGTGCAGGCCTGAGGTCCCCTGGCCTGGGGGGGGAGAGGGTTGGGGAGCATGGTCACAGCAGTCCCAAGAAGGTGGAGGGGTGCTGCGGGGGCTAGCAAGGGAAGGCAGAGTCGTCCATTGGTCGGTCGGTCCGTGGGTCCGTCCGTCTTGGGCAGCAGGAGAGGTTATTCGGCAGCTTTGGCCTCAGCCCCGTCGGCTTTGCCGTCCACCTCCTCGTCCGAGCATTCGCCAGTGCCTTTCCGGGCCATTCGGCGGGGCACGACAAACGGCAGGTCCCCACGCCTAGGGTCAGAGGCAGAGGGTCAGAGAGCCGGCCAGGGTGGCCGCAGCACAGCTCACACATTCCAAATTGGTCTCCAGAGGGAAACTGGGTGCCTAACGTCCCGTGGGGAAAAACAACGCGGGGCTCCAGACAGGACAGGATGGCTCCCAGACAGCAGGGGATCAAAGCTCCCGCTTTAACCCAAAACACAAGAAAAACCGTCAGAAAATCGGGACTGAAGAAAAGAGAGAAAGGCCCAAGAACAGATGGAGTCACCTGCAAAATGCCAACCTGGGCTCAAACTTAGTACGAAACACGTGAAGCCGTGAGATACAGGAACGAGTGGCTAACGCAGTGCGTGAAGACCGCATCTTCCCATGACGTGTAAGAAAACTAGCATTAAACACTAACTAGAACGTCTGCTTTTGTTGATTTTTAAACTGAGATTGCCACGAAAAGGAGGTAAGAAATGAGAATTTCAGAGAAAAAGACCCTCTGCCTCAGCCATTGAATAATTCTTGAATGCCAACCCTCCCTTGAGAAATGCGAAGAAGCCCCCCCTCATTCGCACAGGATGTCAGGAGCCACCCTCGGCAAACGTTCACTAGGACCTACTGGGGGCCGGGGACCCGCCAGGTGGCCTCAGCACTTTCCCCTTGAAAAAGACCCCACATGAGACGTCCCGTCAGGATGGGAGCGGCCGCATGAACGGACCGTGGGACAGGGGGCGGGGAGACTGCCCGACCTAGAGCTCAGTGTTTGTTCAGAAGACCGGGGCCCGGCCCAGGGGGAGAGAACCCCGAGGGCCGTGGCTCCTGGGGGCACTTTCTCGGGCACCGTGCTGCTCACTGGCGTCTACCTGAGAAAGGGAACCGACTGCACAGGAGCTTAACTTTCTGAGTGGCGCTTTTCAGAACTAACTTTTTAAAGGAGAAAGAATTGTGCAAAGGGGCTGGGGGAGGCAGAGCTCACCTGAGCTTGTTCTTGAGGGAGCTGACCTCCCGGTTCATGGCGTCGGCGGTTTCGGTGACATCCTCCAGCTCGCGCTGCAGTTTCCGGCGGGAGGCGTTGGCCCGCTGGGCCTCCTCCTCGGCCTCTTCCAGCTGCCGCTTGAGCTGCTTCAGGCGGGTGGACGCCTTGTCAGCCTGCGGAGACATGGCCAGTGGCCCTGGTTAGGGTCTCTGGGCGAGAGTGGCCCACTCGGCCCCTGGCGAGCCCCGGGGGTCCCCGCCCCTCTGCCCAAAACACACCTGGTCCTTGAACTGCTCGGCGTTCCTGCGCTCATCATCCACCTGCAGCAACACATCCTTCAGCTTCTTCTCGGCCCGACGTGTCTGCTTGCAGGCCGCCTGGCGCTCCCTGTGAGGGACGGACATGGCGGCTCAGGGGGACACCCTCCTTCAGGGGACAAACCACGAGCTGCACCACCCATTCCTGGGGCCTCACTGGTATGTCCCCCGCGGGAGGCCTTGACGCTAAGGTCTTGATGCTTCACCAAGCACCTGCTATGAGCTTTGTCTCCCATTTCACAGATGGAAACCAGGGTTCAGGGAAGGGAAATGACACATCTCAAAGAGCACGTGTGTAGCCAGGAAAAGGGAAAATTGAGATTTGAGGCCCAGTGTGAACCCCATTACCTCCAAGGAAGTCTCAGTCTTGCTGAGCCTACAGACTGCCTGCCCAGGTAGCCCCTCTCTCAGACACAGCCCTCAGAGACAGTCAGCGAACCCCCTAGCTTTAGAAGTGGGCTGGGGGCTCCTATTTAAACCCCACGAGGACACAGTGAAACAGGAGAGGCCGGCAGGATGGGAGACGACAGCCTCTGGGACTTGGGGGACAGAAAGCTGGCTCCTGACCGGACTCAGGGACAAGACCGCAGAGGGGCCTGGGGACTGCTCCAGGTGACAGGCGAGGGACACCTACTTGGTCTCGTTGTCCAGCTGCTCCTCTAGCTGTACAATCTTGGCCTCCAGGGCAGTGATGGAGGCCTTGTACTTGGACTTGACAGTGCCCTCCATCTCCTGCAGCTTGACCTTGAGCTCCTTGTTCTGGCGCTCCAGCTGCTGCCGCGCGTTCTCGTTCTTCTGGGCGTGGCTGCGCTCGAGGTTCAGGTCGGTGTTGATCTGGTCGATCTGCGGGAAGAAGGGCTGGTCACCTCAAGGCAGGCTGAGGACAGAGGTGGAGCAGCCGGATCCCACAGAGCCCCTGATAACACCAGGTCCTGGGGCCTAGTCTCTAACCCCTCCCAGAAAAAGGGAGCTACCCTTAGTAAGGTTCCAGAAACTTCTTAACAGGTGCCAGGACATGCTCCCCTCAGCAATCAAAGTGCAGGTGGCCTCGCCAAGGGGAGCACTGAGAGCGTGCCCGGGGGCCCCGCCCCTGCGCACCTGCAGGTTGGCCTTCTTCAGCCGGTCGTTCACCAGCTCGGTGTTGCCTTGCTCCTCCTCCAGCTCCTCCTCCAGCTGGGCGATGCGGGCCTCCAGGCGCCGCTTCTCCTCCAGTGCCAGGGCCCTGGAGGAGGCCGGGAAGGGGTGAGTAGGGCCTGTCCCTAGGGTGGGGACCCCACCCCAACACCCACCTTCACTCAGCTGAACGTGTCGCCCCGTGGCTCACTCACCCTTTGCCGCTGCTGTTAGCAATCTCGTCGGCCAGCTCATCCCGCTCCTGCTGGGCCTGGCGCTTGGCACGCTCGGCAGCTGCCAGTTCCTGCCATGAGGACCCAGAGTGTGACCCGTTGGGGCAGCCCATGGCCCTGAAAGCCCACCTCTTCTATCCCTGGTCCTCTGTGCAGCCATCCACCGCCCCATGAAGCCCTTTCTCATGAGCTTCTCTGGCTCAGAGGGCTGATTCCTCCCTCTGAGGTCAAAGCTTAGGCACCACATGTTTACAGAGCCCCCACATCTAAATGCTAGGAACGAAGCTTGATGCTGGGGATGTAGAGATATGTAAGGAACTGTCTTGGCCTAACAGGGCATGCTGGGCCCTCTGCATCCTGGGGAGACCAGATGTCAGGAGGGATGAGACAGATGTAGTTAGAACCAGGGTGTAAGGTCTCTGAAAACCAGGTGGAAGAGAAGGGCTTTGTCCAGGGTGAGGTGGCCTCAACAGGGACCCACAGGTGACCACGGAGGGAGGGATCACACTCAAGACCAGGCAGGAGAGCACAATCAGTTAGGCAAGAGCGGACAAGGACGTGCCTGGGTGTCTGGCCCAGCTACGAGCAGAGCTCGGAAGGCGTGACTTCACACTGCGGAGGACCGCCTAGAGCGGGGGAATGCTCCCATGTGTGCCTCATGTGCGACAGGCAAGGTGGCCAAGGGGATGCTC